GTCACAATAAATAATTCGGTCTCATGACCTAAATTTATTCATTTTTTAAGGTTATCACACAAAAATAAAAAATATGCTCCAAATAAGGTAAATAAGGGCTTATTTTACATTGGAACTTTCTGACAGAGCATTTCTACACTAGTGCTATTCAGGGAAGTCAACGGTCTTGGCATGTTGTAGCAAGGGAAACGATAATTAGTTAATATATGCGAAGAAAAGTTGAGTTTTGAGGAATCTCTTGTCTCATTATTGTTGAACTTACTTTCATTTCGAGTGAAAGTGTTGTGTTTTCTTCACCCAGGCTTTCAGACCGTTTGGACAAGTTACTGAATCCTTTTGAACTTTTGAGATGGGAAATATTAAGGCAAATTAAAAACGCTTCTTTAAAAAAGTTAAGCTGCATTTAGGAAATCTTGAGTTCCCTGTGGCCCTACTTTTGATAATATTGCAATAATTGCGCCTCATATGGGCGTACAACTAAGAAGTGGTATAAGACCCATGTAGTTGATGCAATCATTAAAAATTTTCCAATATTACTCAAGTAGGTTGAGGCTTGATGGAAGAGAGTATGTAGCCAAATTCTAATGAATGTATTTGTAATCAATCGGAATGGTCTGGTGCATCGAAGTGGGATAAAGTTGCGAAAGCGCATCGCTTACTTTAAGAGATTGTACTTGTATTATGTTTCAAACCTGAATTATGGTGACTGTTAAGGATTCCCTTGTTGCCTGAAATTATCCAAAGCATGCTTTACGAGCCCAGCTGATGCATGTAGTGATTCGGTCCGAATAGAATCGAAAAGATCGGCAGTGACTATAAATGACAGTCAATGCCTCTTTAAGTTAAACTTAGGCCCTCTCGATGAATGATAACGAGCCTATATTCGTGATCATCAAGTTTTATATAGATTCAAATCTGCGTCAGATCGTCTATTTAGGGTCATGTGTTTGGCCAATTCATATTTTGGGACCCAGAAGCCTTTGCAGGCTGCTTTATGTTTGAGCAACCTCTTTTTAATGGGTCAGCAGGTCACCTTTACATATACTTTGCAAGATGAACATACAACTTTGTAGTAATTCGTTCCAGATAAACAAAACCTGGCTATAAGAGGTATGTATGAGTGCAGCTGGCCACTTTTCTTGTCTTAAAGCTTGTGAATTTTTATAAAGAATCCTCTCCTGCGTAAAGGTGCGTCCATGACTCCTTCGCACAAATCTAGAGCCATACTTGCAAGACTTCGTTGAGGCAAATTAGCAAATTCATCCATTGGCTTTCTCAGACGAATTGGAAGGTACGCCATAATCATTCTATAAAGGGTTTCTTTGAAACCCGACTTCTCTTCATATCTACGGAGCCTAGCTTTTTATATTATCGTTTGATTGTAAACCTAAGTTAGTTATAGCAAAAGTTGCCTGGTGCTTCGGGCTCTTGATATCGATGTGGATTCATTGGTTATTTGGTTGCACTCCAAGCCTCACTCTGTGGCTTTCTATTATGACTGCATTGGTATCTGCTGCTTTCTTATCAGCAATACGTTGACAAATTGGCTGGCAAAGAACAATCTGATTTATATTGTTCGTGAATTTTTTCAGACTCTATTTTTGACTTACGCAAGCGTTAGTCCATGCGGACACTTAAATACATGAATTCGATAAATCTGGGGTTGATTAAGTTGGTAAGGTTGATGAAGGTATGGATAGTCGAGTTACCCACAATGAAATGAGGAAACAGCCTAATTAAGCCACGGGATTTCATCCAGCTTTACCTTCCAAAAGGATTTCTTCTGCGAAGTAGATTGCAGGTCCAACCTCGCATGTGCCTCATCAGCCCTCTGAGCTGGACTCTAAACCGGCTCGTGCGCTTCAACTATCAAAATGTTTCCACTCCTTCATACATCCACATTTGGGAATAAGTGGGTCACCGAAGCGATGCATCCTTCAAGGCACATATTTGGTAGAGGGATTTTCGACTAGGCAAACTTGTACTTACCATTTAAATTGGTGCTATTTCAAAGCTATCAAAAGATCTTTAACAGAAACTTTGGTCACCTACTATCTATTCTGGACAGGAACGCCTTTTGAGAAGTAAGGCAGTGTCTAATTTACTGGTATCGAGAAGCTTTCTAGTTATTTAATTGTTGCAACTTCAATTATCTTGGTCCTTGCGTCACCTTAGGTGAGTACTTATTCAAGCTGATTATATTGTACATCAATGTGCCCCACATGCAACATGCCGTGTTGTAGCAGGCTGTCTGCTTCTCTCCTATCACCCTTATAACATTGTTTTCCACCTTTTATTGGCCTTCTTTTTATCTATTTACTTTGCTTTTAGCCTTGACATCTTTAATGTAAATCCTTTTCTCACCCTTCCATTTACTTTAATTTGCTCTCTTCATTCTGTTCTTTATCCTTTCATTTTTCCCCCATGCCACTTTTTCCTTTCTCATTCTCTGTATTTATTTTTCGCCCCCTCCAGTTGCCTGATAACTGCCTAGACGTTAAAGAAGGTGCGAATCAGCCTCCTTCCATCCAAAAAAACATTCTGTCAGCGGCCCTAAATTCTGGTCTCCCTGGGCTGAAAAAGGGTGGCGCCATTTTATCCGGGCTCAGGTTCAAAGGTCAAAAACGCAGGCAGCAAAAGGTAGCGGACCAGTTGAAACCAGTCGATCCAGCCGCTCCGGCTCAAAGTGACTCTGCCGCAAAGGAAACGGCCAAGACGCCCGATCCACAGCCGGAAGTTGTGTCTAAAGACTATCGGTCGTTGTACTCGACCTACATGGTGCTCGGCTCCT